GGGTGGGAGTGATTCATAGCAATGGGAAATGCTAATGCACCATGGATGAGTAGATGGGAGGGGACACTGCCAACCTCTGTCTTGAATTTGGTCACTCAAAAGAACTTCTAAAGTTTTTTTCACATCCAATCCATGTCTGGAAAACCAAAAACAATCCTTGTCATCCAGATTGATTTACAAATGCTGAAACCTGTACTTATCTTTGCACTTTTAGTAGTGATATAGTCATGAATTCCTATTAACACTCCTTGTTTCAAGAAGTTATCAAGACAAATATATTAATCTCTATCAAAAGAGACTTGAAAGTTAACCAACAGTTATTACTGAAGTGGCAGCAATGTTAAAATTACAGGGGTCACCAGCTTTCCTTAAGCATGGTATAAATTGAATTCCAGGCAAGAATGGTGCTGTGTGCTTGTGACACATGTTAGATTTTTCTGCAATGGGCTAAGATGTTACCACCCACAGAGGGTCACTCTATCCTTCACAAGAAGAAGTTATTGTTCTCAGGGCACAGAATCCATAAAGAGATCAGGCAAGCACTTCCTAATTCTTTTCAGTGCAAAGGCAAACATGTACCCCCAAATATTCTTAGCAATGGCTTCAACTAATCCAACTGATTTTGCTTTCAGGAAACCTAGAGGCTCTGACACTTAACAGTTCAGCTTTAAGGTGGTGACCTCCAGTCATAGAGCAAATAGAAACCAGGTAGTAAAATGTTAAAACTGTGATAGTTGTTTGCAAAGTTGCACAGTCATCTGGTACTTTGCTTGTCTCTTTACAAGGCTTCAGTCTAAACTTTAGCCTACATTGCCTGCCTGCCTCTCCATCCTAGGACATAAGAATAATTTTTTCCATCAATAATGGTAGTTAAACACTGAACAGGTGCCAAGACAGGTTGTGGAATCTCTGTCCTTGGAGTTATTCAGGACTTGACTATACAAAGCCATGAGCAACCTGCTCTGGGTGGCCCTGCTTTGAGCAGACATTGGAGCTGAACTTTTGGTCAGCCCTGAAGTGGTCAGGCAGTTGGACTAGATGATCCCTTCCAACTGGAACTAATCGATTCTGTTCTGTTCCATTCTATTCTATTTGCAGCACTGGGCAGAAAAGGATCACCTATGCTACTGAGTCTAGTTGCCTCCATTCCCAGGCATCTACACAATACACAATCTAGTAGGGAACCACGGCTAGATCACAGGCTCTGTATGGACAGTATCCAAGCCTCATGGACCCACACAGTGTCTACCTCATGCTTCCCAGGGACTTTGAAGTGGACCCTGAATTGCAGCGACACCCTATAACAAAGCTAAGAACTCTGTTACAAATGCCTTAAAGTTTACACCACGCTACAGTAGGTTAGCAGGAAAGACAAAGGTCATCTATTGTGTCCCAGATCCTGCGTCAGGAAGAATTTAAATACCTCAGGAAGTGGCCCCATAGCTATGCTACTGACATAATGGGAAAAAAAGGCTAAATGTGCCATAGCACTGCAGATCAGACCCAACCAAAACTTTCTTCATAAATAGTCATCTGTTGAACATTTTGACATGGGCCACATGAGCCAAGCTTCTTGGTAGTTTCTCAATAACCTGTAGAAGCACCTTCAACTCCTGCACATCCATCTCTATTCATGATCATTTCTTTTGGGGGACAGAGAAAAGAAACCTTTATTGTTCCAGCAGGCCAATAGCAGAAAACCCAAGGCAGAAAACACTACATACAATCTAAAGATGGTGCAAAAAAATATTTAAATACTCACTGAGTGATCAGAGGAATCCTTGGCATTTCTTTAGACACTGAGAAAGTGCCAGTCTCTCCCTTGCTGCCTGTGAAATACACGCCAGCCACGTTGGTCGCCTGGTTCCAATGAGCAGCCCTCCACCCCCCTTTACAAAGCCAACCAGGTCTTTCGCCTGTGTGCTATCATAGGCGTCCATATAGTACACCCCCAGGGAGGGGCTAAGCTCTGCCCCAGACTGTGCCTTGGTGCCAGCCTGGAGCAGCAGCTGGGAGAGGGAATCCAAATGAGAATGGACCCCAACCAGGGCCTCGGGGGAAGGCTTGAGCCACTCCACAGCATTTCTGAGAAACTGAGAAAACTTGGAGTTCTTCAAGATTCCCTCATGGGAAACAACCACCATCTGGCCCTTGCCATAACAAGATGCTGCAATTAGCACTTGGCCATTGGTGCTCAGCAGCACTGGGGAGGCCTCACCTCCAATCGGCAATAGCTCACATGGATGATATTTTGTTGTGAAGTCAAATGAATTAACATCAGAGAGGCATACACTGCTGTGGGATGCATTTGATATACCTCTTGTTAAAGAGTACTGAAAGAAAGAAATAAAGAAAGAAAGGGAAGCACTTTGGGATTAGAAGCTACAATTGAAATGTTTAACAGATAAAAGCTATTGAGATACACACCAGCTATGCTGTTCTGCAGTCCCAGGAGGAACCTGTATCCCTGAGTCATGCACAAATATATAGCCCAGAAGTAAGGTGAGCCAGGAAAACATGACAGGAATGAGGAAAATTTGCATAGCTACTAGTCACACAATAACCCCAACAGACATATTAGGAAATGTACACTGAAGACATAATTCCAGTTAAGCCTTTCCCTGTTCTTCTACCTATGAGTGTTTGAACTGGTATGAAACTGCTTTACAACACTAACATGCCTGGAGTTGTAGAAGAACAATCCAAATAATTTTTTTATGAGATAATATGTAGACTTCAGATTACTAGGTCTAGCCACAAGCTATTATATTTCCACAGCTCACTTTTAAGAGGAATTCTTGCATTCAAAGGCCTTCAGTTATCTCTAGGAGTGTAGGGCTTAGTGTTCATCCCACTGGCAGAGGTGGAATCAATACCTATTGTGCCATTGTACACCTGCTGTCAGAGTGTGTTGCACCCAATGAAAGTTGTATGGACTTAAAGGAACATACTTCATATACAGAGTAAAGAATTTATTGTTAGTCTCATTAGTGCCTTGACGGTAATTACAATACAGCAAAAATATTTATCCAGTTAAAATTATACTAACATATATAATACAAATTCTTCAATTATTGCTAAATCCCAATAATGATACAGTTAGAACTGCTATATACAGGCTCTCCAGTATCTAACCATTTTCCCAGTGCTGGTTCCTGATGTTCAGTTGTGCTAGTCTGTGCTAGAAGAGATGGTTTGCAGTGAGCCATCAATATCCTGAGTTCTTTGCTAGGAGGAATTCAATGGAGAAAAGGAGAGGGAAGTTCTTCCTCTTTGATCTTAGGTCCTTTTGGAGTTATTTATATACTTCTTAAATAACCTGTTTCTTACTGCCCCATGGATTGGTTACATGATGACTACTTAGTAATGTTAGACCTCTACCATATCTGATAAATATGCAGAATCAGTGTTAAGCTACAAGAGATAGCCCTTCCTCCTGACTCTTTCCTAACACTTACAAATCTGTGAAGTTATACCTAAAAGAGTCCTGTGGCCACTCAAGATAGTTACTAGTGAGTCTTGAGCTGTTAAATTAGTACAAGGCCTGTGGCTTGCCTCTAGCAATAGCAACCATGCATTTACCAGGGAACAGAGAAGACCAAACCCCTTCCAGAGCATTACGTATAGAGTGCTAAAGAATTAGACCATGTTTTTGCAAGCCTGCATGCTTAGGGGCACATCTTCTGGTATAAGCAGTGCAGTCCCTTTGCCTCCCCAGCCATCTACCTGACCATGAGGATAGGTAACTGCCTCCATTCGTGACCAGCTTATCTGCTCTGGGGCTACACTGATGTAGCAGGTTCCATGTATCTCCACCCGTCCAGACAGGAAAACTAAGCAGGGTAAAGCTGTGATAGCAGAATTTTTTTTAACCCGTTCCTGCCCCAGCTGCCACCTTCCTTCCTAAGCTGGCCTAGCGATATGCCAGGTGCCTTCCTATATCAGCAAAGGGACAGGGTAGAGAGCTAGAGATAGGCCCACGGGGAGAAGGAATAGGGTGCTACTTCACATCTACCCCAGGCTAGAGTGAACAGGAACTCTAGCCATTTAATATTTGCTTCCTATAACCTCAAGTGAAGTGACTAGCTGATCTAAGCCCATGTCCCTGGGAGCCGAGAACATGTCAAAATAGCCACCACATATGGTTTTCTGCTGGCAGTTTCAGCTGAATGTCAGGGTCCCGAGTGCACCAAAAGGCCTTAATGGCCTTAATGGTCAACGTCACCTGGGGCCTCCACCCACTCCCCCTGCCCATGGGCCCAGGGCATCCATTTTGGCTCAGCCCTGGGCCTTCAGATGTTGTTGGTGCGCCTGTTGTTAGGCCTGTCTCTGGCCCTACCTCCTGGATGGCTCTCAGAAATTTGTTTTAGATAGCTTTCCTCCAGGATGGGCCCTGCAGGTGTACATTGTAGCTTGTCTCCCGTCCTGCCCCTGACCCTCTCTCCTTTTGGGCTCCCTGGATGGACACTGGGTCTGGCTCATCACTTGCCTTGCCTGGGACCACTGAAGGACTCTGTTACCAGCACCTGCTCTGCCCACGGTGTTCACACCCTGCGGGTCTGTGCTGCCGTCACCCTCCGCTCCAAGCTCACTTTCTCCTAGGAGCAGCTGTCCCTTGCTGCTCCCTCACACTGAGAAGCCAAAGCCTGACAGTGCCATGGAGCTGCCCTGGCCTCCTCACTCCCCTCAGCACACAGCTCGGGGGCACACAGCCAAGGCAGACTGTAGTTCATTCAAGGGACAGAGTCTAGGCCTCACTCTCAGAAGACAGCAATTTTCAACCTGATCTAGCTGTGGCTAAATCTTTTTACCTTTTAAACAGCTTTAATTTGCTTAACTAGACTGTAGTCTGTGGGGAAAGGTACCGTGTGTTTCTGCGTGTTTGCACAGTGCCTGGCGCAACAAGGCTCTCGCCTGCACAGGAGCCCGATGGCCTAAAAAGAATAATTAGTAAATGGCTGTCAACTCCTAGGCTGAATCTCTTTGATTAGGTAAATGCTTTTGCTTTTTTGACTATTCAGTCAGGTGGCTTCGGTGAACACCGGAATATCTATTACTTCTTTTTTTAAGGTCAAGGTCAAATTTTTTTTTTTTTTTTTTACTTTCTGAGGCCAGCATGAACTGTCAAACCAAAGATAATATGAATTGTGTCAAACCAGATCTGCTAATTCCTCACTGAGATAGAATCATGGAATCATAGAATCATTTAGGTTGGAAAAGACCTTTAAGATCATCAAGTCCAACCTTTAACCTAACACTGCTATCCCACCACTAAACCATGTCCCTAAGCACCTCATCTGCCCGGCTTTTAAATACCTTCAGGGATGGGGGCTCAACCACTTCCCTGGGCAGCCCATTCCAGTGCCTGACAACCCTTTTGGAGAAAAAATTTTTCCTAATGTCCAACCTAAACCTGCCCTGGCACAACTTGAGGCCATTTCATCCACTTAAGGTTTTTTCCTTTCCTGTTTGCTCTGGTCAAACTACAGATGCTTCTGAGCCTTGCTTTTCTCAGAGCAGGAAGAGGCAGAAGCAGGCCGCTGAGGGCAGAGCAGCTGCACAACCACGTGCATTGTAGCGCAAACTGGGTGAGAAAGGCCCCACCTCAATAATGTAAACAGGCTTGGAATAAGCAGTGTCTTTGGCATTGAAGCTGGACAAGCTATCCAGAATAGAAAGATTAGAGAAAAAGGGCATGGTAGAGACCGTAAGTATCAGAGGTGGCTTGCTGGGCAGATTCTTATCTCCCTCCCCTCCCCCAGCACTGCTTGTCAGAAAAGTGCACTCTTGGTCACAGGCAACAAGGAAGCCTCTGCGGGTGCAAGATGATACCCACACACCATGTGGCCATCTCTGGACTTGGACTTATAGACACAGCTGTGTGCTTCAGTTGGGAGGATCCAGTAGGAGGATGCTTCAGCTGGAATTTGCTCTGACATGCAAAATCATCTGTTATGGTTTAAGCCACCTATCACCACGTCTTTTATACCATACTGATGGCACTGTCCCCTGCTGCAGCAGTCAAGCAGTTCCTCTCAGACCACAGAGGTCTGGTAGGTGCCTGACTTACCCATGTACCCTTCCACAGCCCAATGACAGCCATGTCCCTCCCCTCTGACGCTGCTGCTATTTGACACATCCTTGAACCTCCCCTCTATGTGAGCATTCCTGGTCATCTCAAAGCACAGCTAAAAATATACATCTCCATTGACAGAGGTCTCTAAGTTTCTTCCTCTCTTCTACAATATTAACATAAATGAAATTGCTCTTCTGTACTTCCACACTGTATTTCCTCAAAGAAAAGAGCCATTCCTGTATTCCAGAAGAGTTTTATCTAGAGAATACTATGTCCCATTCAAACTTCAGTTTGCTCACATAGCTCGCACCCTCCACAATTCCATCTGACTGTCCAAAATCTCTTCATCTGCAACAGGCTTCTTTTCTTTCTTGTGTAGCCTTAGGCTATCAAGTATTAAATCACTCGGTAAGTTTTTTTATCCCACTCTTTCTACTCCCACAGAACTCCCTGGACCCTGAGTACCCCACTGGTCTGCAGTGGAAATCCAACTGCTGCTCAGCTCTGACAGTAACCAACTCATATTGCATGTTTTCAAGTGTCACTTTCAGTCATTCATCCTCTCCAGCCATTATTCCCCATTCTCATGCACTTTCAGCTTTCTTATTATTGGCATGCTACATGATGAAAGATTGAGTGGGAAGAGTCAAGCAGCCAAGACAGGTGTGCATACTGCTGCATACCTGAGGAAAGTGGTCAAAAATCATATCGTCACTGCCATACCACAGAGTTTGCTTTCTTTCATGCCAAGATGATTCATCTAACCTACCTGAGGAAGAACTGGAGAACTGCCAAGGGCAAATCCTCTGCACTGTCTTAGATGACTTGCTCTCTGCAGGTGCCTGCTTCTCTGCATTGGCCCTGAAGGGAGCCTTGGGTGAGCAGCTCTGATTGAGATGGCTGACTTTTGGAGGCATAAACCAGGGCAGATGAATCCCATTTTAGCTATGCTTGATTTTTGGATTACTTCCTACAGCTGCTCCCTGGAGAATCAAAGGCTAAAATAATCAATACAAAATTTCAGTAGTTGTCTAACTAAATTTTGAGAAATCAAAATAAGAACCTGTCATTAAATCAGCAGCTCATTCAATGCCACTGAGTTATTACCAACATGTTTGAAAATATTTTCTGCTAGCCAGCAAGTTTATACAGAAGTAATTAATAAAATTGACAGAGTCATCAGCATTTTATTTCACATTGGAAAAGGTATTGTGCCTCTGTGTGTTTCTCCAAGGGTCTTGGCAAATCTGACACTTCACATACTGGTGAAATCACCATTAGCCTGATAACGAAAGGGAAGACTTCGTCAGATCCTTGTCGGGCTTCCAGCTCCCTACTAGCAGGAGTATATAGCAATAGCAGGCAACTTTCCACCAAAAGCAAGGTGACCATAAAAATGAAGCCAGTAAGTCTATATGTAAATTTGAAAACCTCAACAGTGAACCCAATCATTCTTACTTTATTAGAGCACGAAAATCCTCTGTTTCTGGTTTTATTTTTGCTAAGGTCAGTGTGGCCTCCTAATCTGTTTTATGTTTTTTCCCACTTCAGCTCTTGCTTAGGTCACTCTCAGGTGTGTCCTAGGTATTCCCCAGACTGCATGCTGAATTCTTCTGTGACTGCTGCTTGAACTACATTTTCACAGAAATTATTCAATGTTTCATGTGTTATTTTGCAGTCTATCTCTGTGATAACATTTTCTTGTCTTACTGCCACAATTTCAGTTTGGCCTTTCTGCTTTGATGGGCTACCCCAGCATGCACCATCCCTAGTGGATAAGCAATTGCAGAATTCAGGCCTGCAACATGCCAATCTTTTCTCTGATTTATGCTACTTTGCTTTTTTTTATTATTATTTTATGGAGGAGAACAGACATCATTCTGAGGGTGACATTATCTGAGTTAGTCCAATTTTTAATTTACTATGTATGACTAAATATCAGGCTGCATTTAGAGCTGGTGGAAATAAATTGTAGCTTCTCCACTAATCCATCCTAGCTCAGGATCCGACCCACCACCTTCTTCTTTTGCCTTTTTTTTCCTCTTAAATATTTCATGGTCCATTTTGTTGTGCCATTCATGAAAAAGGAATAGATCCTGCCATGCTTAGGTAACAGATCTGATAATATTTGGAGCATTTTTTTAATATACCTGAACACAACTTTTATTCATAAACTCATTAGGGTTAAATCCACTTCTGTAGGTAGGGTCAGGTCTAAATCTTTACACCATGTAAATTTTCTTCTGAACCACCAAACCAGGACCAAAACAGTACCGAAACACTGTCTAAGCTATGATTAGCCTCTGAATTTATTTTATTGGAAGAACATATGCAAAATATTAGGCAAATGAATCACAGGGAAATCAGAACCATACCTGAGCCAGGACAAAAATGAAAAGCTGCTGTAGCAAATCTTTGGGTCACTTCTATTTAGTTTTTTCTTAATGGGCATAGAGACATGGAAGTAGGACTACACACACACCTGCGAGACTGCAACAATTGTTTTATTTATTGTTCATACACAAGGAATGGGTTGGGACTGGTATGCTATTAGGCTAAGCATTAACGTGCTTGCCAGTCCTGTGTAGTCACCAATGTGGTGTGTTAGCCAAGCAATTATGAATGAGGTGGGAGAAAGAAAAACTTCTGTTGCTCCTGGGAAAAGGCTGGTCCTCTGTCCTGATGAACTGCTGTCTTCCTCCTCTCTGCTCCCTCATGCTGTCATGTCAGCACCTATTTTTTTAACCTTTGATGAGTCCATGAGTTAAATCATTGCTGACTACAATCAAGTCACCTCTTCTTTGTTTCCACTCTCCCATCTTGCATGGCATATATCTCGCTGTCAGGCTACGGTAAGAGTGACAGCTACAACTTATAATTGACTTATTCACATAAAGCTGGATGTTGGGTCACACAGTCATACAATGTAGGAAGAAATCTACAGCATTTCAGTATCAGCTATGTAGAAGCTGTATATAAGAATTACAAGGTCATTCTTTGGAAGTTCTGCATACTTAGTGCATTAGGGATTTTAGGGTAATCAAAACCATACTGAAGATCCCATGTTACTGAGATTGTGGAGGCTACTATTTGCTTTACAGATCCATATTCTATTGTCCTTGAGACAAATCCAGTGACAGGTCTATTGACAGCAGGAAGCTATATAACTTGGTGTAAAGCTAAGTGCCCAGTGAGCTATCATGCAGCACACAAGGAGAAAAAGATAAGCCATAGATGATCTGAGAATCAAGGTTTAGATATTTTCACTTCATGGTCTATAGAATCGCATTGGGTCCTGTTCCCAGCTGGGTAAAGAGGACAGTTCCACAGACAGCTCTTTCTTGATAGGCCATCCCCAGGCTGTAAAAAAAGGAGCCAGGTTCTTATTCACCTCCTGAGAAAACTTCTGTGCCCACAAGTTCATCTTGGAAGGGTTGTCTTTTGGGATGGTGGACATTTTCTGGTAGTCAGAGAAGAGGTGGATGAAAGGGTCCCAACCAAACCCTTCCTGCAACTGATGGAGAAGAACACAGTGTAAAAACGATGAACTTCTCATTTCACTGGCATTATTCCTGCTTTGCAAGCAGTAGAAAATTCCACAGGTTTCTGCAGTGTCTTTTAGACCAAATGTAAAGTTAGATGAAGGCATCCAACTTTGAGGCTTCAGAGCATAACTTACAGCACTGGAGTACAGAAAAATACACCTTCCCATTATACTGACCTGCCAAAACAAATGGAGATGAAAGATGCATTTGGAGCAGCCAGAAATGTCAGTAACCAGCTATATCAGCTGCTGATTTGGGCAGAAGAAAGCTTCTTGTGCAGTGAAAAAGCATCAAAGAGGACACGGACAGAGAACCTGGGAAGAAAAGAGTACAGGAGATCAAGGACTAATCAGAAAACAGGAAGAAGAGATTTAGCAGGGCATGCTTTGGCTAGGAGTCAGAACAACAGGGATACAGATAGAAAAAACGGCTGTTGCACGAGTAAAGAGTTTAAAGTAAAGAGGGAGGGGAAACCTATATTGTTGCTCAAGATGAGGTTAATACAAAGAGCTGACTTGGAACAACAGCATGACAGGATGCAGGGTGTCTACTCAATGTCCGTAGTTCCTTACCAAGCCATGACCTACATCTCACTTTCTGATACTAAACAGATTGACACTAAATTGCATTCTGCAAATCCTCCATCATGCTGGAACAGCTAAGCAGGAGACAGCACTTCTACATTAGGCAGAACAAACAGGCAGGTTATCTACCTCTGATAAACCCCTATTGATATGGGAACTCTTGGGGCTGAGACTAGCTATGGACTAGGCACTACCTTTTCATGAGAAGGCTGGAGAGCCATGAGGAGGCTGACTGGAAGGTGGGAGACAAAGGGGCCTGGTCTTGTGGCAGGTCAAAAGCAGTAAGCCAACTTACACTGGAGGAGGCTCCACACCATGTTAGGTTATGTCTGAACTGGAGAATGAAGGAGCATCTCCTGGACCCCAAGTTCAAGTATCTATCCTAGACACTTCCCAACTTCTTGTCACATGTCCACAGTGAAAACTGTCTGTTCCCTCCCCCACTGGCCAATTTTCTCTGGGAAGAAAAAACAGGTACTGGTGGGTGTGGCACATCCTGGACAACTGGGGGATGAAGCATGCTGCAAGTGCTTCTTTTTCCTAGTCTAGACAGAACCTTGGAGGTTTCTGACTTTACTTGAAAGCAAGCAGTGAGGAGGTGGAGACAGAACAATACAGACAGGAGTTTTCTTGTTCCATTTAAAATCCGTAAATCTCTTGGGCCAATCAACTGATTTTCTAATTGTTTTATACTTTTTTTTTTTTTTTGCAAAACCCATGTTACAGGCTTTATTTACCACTCTGGAGAGGTAAATGGGTATCCAGGTAAACTCTGAGAGATTATATGCTCCATCAGGCAATAGCAAGACCAGAGGACACCATGCTGCCATGTAAGTGTAAGAACCAGACAGGAGTTGAACCCAAACAGGCCTGAAGAAGACTGAAACTTCCTGTATTG